GTTATTTTGGCCATCTAACAGCCAGGTGGGGGAGGATCTCTCTCCCCCTCAAGAAATTGACTGGACGTGTTAGGCTCGATCATAGTATATTTTTAAACTTGGCATATGTAAAGACACTCCTTCACATTGTAAATGTGACGTTTGAAGCCAATCAAACATTATTGTTTTGTTGTTACTGTCATTTGAATTTCTAGACTACACTTTAGCCCGCCCGCTTTCATTGAGCGCTGCAGTGGAAAAAGACTTTCAGTACATTTTCAGCTGACCTGTCGTCTCGGGAAAATAGGCGCTGCCCAAGAACGGTACAATTGATTTCCACCAAATTGGTGTCAAAAAGACCGCAACGAGTTACTCTAAAAACTCCTAGAGACTCAACTCCAGAAAAAATGCACTGCAACGATATCGGGAAAAAAGTTGGGGGCCAGAAAACAGGGGTCCGAACCCCCCACCCTGTGGGGCGTAGTGGCAAATATTCTCATCCAATGCAATCCCATTCAATTAATGCCATCCAAAGAATTATGGAAAAAATTCATTTGGAAAGATTCCTCTGCCTGGCTTCGCTAAACTGCTGATTCTGCACGTTCCGAAGGGAGGCGGTATTTCGGGAACATAAAACCGTCTCTTGTGATGTATCTATAAAAGAAGAGATTGACCGTGTGATACAGTCAGTAGTTACACCTATGGAAGAATCTCCAGGGTCTTTTTTAGATTTGCTTTGATCTTCACATAGTTGGCACCTTTAGAAATGATTAAGTGTCATTCGAGCGTGAGCTCGAATATAATTGATACTGGTAGGTCATGTTGCAGGTATTAATTAAGCTGACAAGTTTCATTGCACTGTTTGCTGTTTTATTGGAGAACGTTGACTGTTGTAATGACCAGCGTAACTATAGGCTTAAACATACAGCCTTGATGAGCCAGTTGGGTATTCCAACAGCGCATGCTCAGTACAAGGCTATTTGGGAACAGCTCAACCTCGCTCCCATGAGTACGATCTTGCCACGCATGTTATTTCCAACATGCCTCAGCCGTTTTCCAATACTCATCTCCGTCTCAGCGTCGTCTCCAAAACCAATTCCCGATTGTGGGCCTGAAGCGATTAAATCAAATTGAAGTACTGTAATGTTTGGCTCTTTTGCATCTTACTTGATGTTTGTGGCTCTATCAGACTTGCTATTGTGCTTACAACTTCAAAGTCAGGAAGTAGAAAAAAACGTTGAAGCTCCTGCAGAGCCGAAATCGAGTACTGGAAAACGTCCCATGGAGATCTCGATAGTCTGTCGATAGTCTGTCATGTCTGTACAAACGCGCCGTTGAACTGTTCCTTATCGGAGGGTGATCCACGTCTAAAGTGCAGCAAGTCTTGCTGAAGATTGTTCATCGACACAGTGTCATTTAGTGGGTCGGCCTTTCCAGGTAAAAGAGGACGAGGAACGTAAATTTTTAATATACGCCAACAGCATATGAAAAGTTCTGTTTTGCTCACAAACTATATACGATTTTGCAAATAAGCCATTTGTGAATAACATTTGAATGAAATCTTGTACACTGACACAGACTAAAGACACTGTTGCTATACCTCCGATTCGGGGCAAGCTTTGCTTAGTTACTTGAGAGACGTCTCGTACCAATCCACTCTTTTCAATGGATGAGACGGGCACGAAAGAACCAATCCATTCCAGAAATAGAGGTCGCTATGCAAAAGCTTGCACCGAATCACAAGGTATAGTATTAAACAGTGTCTTTATTCTGGGGAATTCAAATTGTTATTTTTATGGGCAATAAGATTGCACAATGTACCAGATTTTGTTCAATTTTAACCCGAAAAGGCCTTATTGCCGTAGTATTAACACCTAAACACACAGCACCGTGTGTGGATGATTTGTGATTTGTCTGGAATAATGAAGCCCTTTCTTCAGTGAAAAATACGTCTGAACTAACTTCAATAATCAGAAATGAATTTCTTAACTTTAAAGATTACTTGGTGGTAGATTATCCAACAGCGAAGAAGGCAATGTGCCCACTCTACGGGACCTATAATTTTGAGCCTAGAAAACATTTGAGGGCTTATACGAATATATCATAATGTGCTTCTTGTCTAGAATGTTTTTGTATCGGAAAAGCTTCAAATTAAATGACATATTGTTTGCTAGTACAGTGGATCAGCATTTACATGAAAAGCGACTGCAGCGCTTGGCAGCGGTGTAAAACTTGGTGTCAACGTCCGAGTAGGGCCTACAAAACACTCTTCTGTTCCTGCATCGTAGCCATAACGATTAATGCGAGCTGGAGTTTCCTTGGAAAGATCTCTCAGCACAGATCCTGTTGACATCACAAGATCCGGGTTCGACGGATTCAAATAGTAAAAAATTCAAAGTGACTCAATTTCCATGGATCGGGCCACTGCAGAGTAATAATAATAATGTCTCCAGTGGGAAAACAGATATTTTCGGTACTTACAGAGAGAGCAATGTGTAATTAGATAATGTTTCCCCTTTCCCTTATTTCTACTAAGTCTTAAAACGTTTTACTCTGTAACGCGTGGCAAAAGCACGTGAAATAATCAGTTTTTTGGTCC